TTACTGAAGCTTCTCAGTTTCAAGAGGTCCCATATATTGTCAATCTTAGTTTCTGTGCTACTGTTGTTATATTCAGGAAAATGTCTTATAGTGATATTGTGTTTGTAATCTAACAAATAAAGCTTTGCCTAAAGACTGATGTGCAGAGCTAAGCCACTAGTTAGCCACACACCTAAGCCACTAGTTAGCAGTGGTGGCCACACCTTTAATCCCAGCACTATTTAGCAATGTAAGGTGGGAAAAGACAGGAATTCAGTGAAGTCGAGTTTTGGTGAAGACAGGTAGATGCTGTCTAGAGACAATTTGATAACAGGATTGCCCCTTTGGTCTGAGCATTAGTCAAGGTTGGAACTTTCAAGTGGCTGGCCACTTTGCTTTTCTATTTTCAACATTTACTCTATACCTGCTCTGGGTTTTTATTATTAAAGCCAAGTATTATGTGTGCCATAGTGCACAGATTGGCCAGGTGTCCATTGCAACAGTAGAAGTCTGAGAAGGTGTCAAGATGGGTGTCTAGTGTGGCAAAAGTCTGAGAAGGGTGTCAAGGGGAAATCCACAGTCCAAGGGGAGACAGAGACAGCTCTCTGGAAAACAACATAGGAGATCATGCTGAAGAAGCACACAGGGCAGGAACTGCCTGAAAGCAGAGCCAACTGGTCCCTGGTGGTTAAGTCCATTGGTGTTTGGATCCGAGGTCTCTCTGGACTTTGGGGCCTGTGGAGTTTGGGCGGCAGCTGGAGACTGTTGTAGAGATGCTGCAAGAAGAAAATCCCAGACTTGGTCAGAGGGCTTAGAGAAAGATAGGAAAATCCAGCCAGTGGTGGGTGACTCTGGCAGGTGCAGCTCATGTGTGCAGCCACAGCAAGCAGCTATCACATGAATTCATGCCTAAAAAGTTGGACTCCAAGTGAAGCATAAATCTAGTTAATCGTTATCAATAAAAATCAGGAGCCAATTATCTGGGTAAGAACCTGAAAGAACAGAGCAGCCACCAGTCGCCTCCTACCTCTTCTGTTCCTAAAGGCCAAGAGCCTCTCTCACTTTACTACTTCCTATCTCTCTCTGCTTACAGTCCTCCAAACCTCTATGCTTAATTTTGGTCAACTAGTGGCTGGCTCCACCCTCTGACTCCAAGCAAAATTTGTCAGAACACAAATGAAAATATCATACAACATTCAGTGGTATTTAAATATATTTTTTTTCTCAAAGAGAATTATAATTATAATTAGTTAAGTGTAGCTTATTGGTTACAAGATATTTGATCACACTGTGAGGCCCAAAATGGCATTATTCACTGGGAAAACCTATTTCTACTTTTGGTGTGGCTCAGCCACAGCACATACCTCTAATCCAAGAACTTTATACTATAATAAACTTTCTACTATAATAAACAGATTAATGTCAACCACAGGTCAAGAGAAAGAGCAAGCAACCAGTTGGCAGGAAGTAGGGAAATAACCATACAGATTAATAGGGAGGCAGGAGAATGGATAGAGAGACTCTCAGGAAGTAGAAGAAAAGGATATTCAGCTTGGGTTTTATTTTGTTTTGTTTTGTTTTGTTAGATGGAGGAAAGTGCTTTCTGGGATGGTAGAGGAGGAGGAGGCTCAATTGGGTGATTTTCTCTGAGTCTTGGAGTACACAGGCTTCACACCAGCATCTGGCTCCCAAATCTTTATTGGTAAAATCAAAAAACAGAGATTTTGATAAAAAGCAACAATTACGTATTCCTTCTAAACTAGATACAATGCCCATAGATTGCAGGCCTATACATTTTCAGAATATTCCCAAAAATTCCCTTTTTTTCCAGTAATGTCTATTGTAACATATCCTTTGAATAATGCAAGCATCTTGTTGGCATGCTAATATTTTTCTGGAGAACTCTCCATATATTCATTCATCTAAAGTATCCTTCATTCAACCAACATGGTATGAGTTTCCTCTGCTCCTAAGAACTTTTCATCTTTTCTCTTTGTAATAATAGCCACTATATTTGAGGCATACAAACACACTGGAAGAAAGAAAATATTTATTAAATAGTTGATGTGGGATAATCCTTCTGTCTTCAGTATATAAATATTGCACTCATTGGTTAATAATAAAGCTGATTTGGCCTATAGCAAAGCAGAATAAGGCTAGACAAGAAAACCAAACTGGAAATACAGGGAGGAAGAAGGGTGGAAAAAGGGGACATTTGAGTCATCCCCTATGGAAGCAAGATGCTGGATTAAATTAGGTTGTAAGAGCTAATAATTTAAGTTATAACACCTAGTTAATAATGCTGAACTACAGGCTGAGAATTTTGTAATTAATATAACCTTCTGTGTGATTATTTGGGGCCAGACAGTTGGGACAATAAATAAGTTCTACTTCCTTTTACAACTAGTGGATGTGTATTCCATATCAGGTGTCACTTCTTCCCTCCTGGGTTGTTGGAAAACATGGCAATGACCTTGGAGACTGTCAATTATACTTTTCCATAGGAATTATCTTGAAGCATTAATATCTGAAGAATAATGGAATTTGTAGAAATGGAGGACACAGTATGAATGTAAATTTTAAAATATAAAAATGTCTTACTAAACCAGGCATTGATGGCATACACCTTTAATCCCAGCACTTGGGAAGCAGAGGCAGGCAGATCTCTATGAAATCAAGACCAGCCTGGTCTACAAGAGCTAGTTCCAGGACAGGCTCAAAGCTACACAGGGAAACCTTGTCACAAAAAAAAAAATCTTATTCAATATATTCACAGAGAGTTGCTTGAAAATTTTGTGAATGTAACATAACATTGCCTCTTCTACTTAGTACTTAGCATTCAATTATTTGACTATATTTCTTTTTTTTTTCTTTTTTAATCCCGATGAAAATCTCTACAGTCTAAAGACTTGGGCTTAGGATTTTATGGAACTGGAAGACACAAACTGCCAATGTGAGTGATAGTTTAATGTGCACTCATTTGCTGAATCTTCACTATCTTCATTGCTTATTCTAGAATAGTTAACGCTTGTCTAGCATGTCTGCCTCTCAGGTTGCTGAGGTCCTGACTTTCTCATCAGTTACTTTCATCACTCATTCTGAGGAAAAAGTTATTTCTAAACATTTATTTGTAAGATGCTGTTTTTCTTCCCTTCTTTTGTTCTTTTTATTCCCTGGGTGACAATATAGAATAAGGCTCTTTGTTTTGGAAAAGGTGATGAACTCTGTGAGAATGTGAATTGTTCTCCTCTAACCCAGAACAAATTCTCCACTTAGAGCATTACCATATACGTAAAAGACAGGTGTGAACAGATAATTCACAGTAGAGAAGTATCAGTCCAACCTAACTATGGACAGAGGATCTGTCTATAACACTTGGTCATAACATATTTGCTGTTAATTTAAGCTACAATTTAATTCTTGACATGTTTGTTTGTTCTAAAAGAAGCAGAAGAGGATCAAATGAACATGGATAACTTTTGTTCACGTTTGAAAAAGATATTTACAAAAAAAATCCTAGATAAAATAAAGCTAGAATGCTTATCACAAAAAGCATTACAATATGTCCATATTTTCAATTCAATACCCCTTTATAATTTTTCATATCCTCTTAGTTTCTCATAGCCATAAATTTCTAGCTTATACTTTTAGCTTCTTGTTCTATAGAGTCTTGATTTGTGGCCCTTCTTTTTTTTATTTTATTTTATTTTATATAACAAAGTCCAATTAAATGAAAACAAACATTTATACACAATGTTTGGGAATTTGGGCGTCGTTCTTTCTAAACTACTTCCTGCTGGTAAGGGCGCTGCCATGGGGGATTCGAAGAAGATTCAGAAATCCTGGCTGTAGTCTGTAAGTGCCCCTTACTTCTAAACATCAACAAAACTAATTTTCTGTTTTTCCTCATTGAGAATTATGGCTCTCATATGATTGAAGCTTCTCAATGTGTCTTAGTTCTTAAGAGTGTGATTCCCATCTGAGGACAAATTCTGCTGAACTGACATAGCAGTTTCATTACCTTACTTTCCAAACAAGACTGACACTTGCATAGAACAATATCAGTCATTGCTGGAAGTAGAGTCATCCATTGTTCTTCATTCATATTAATAATCAATTAGTTACCTGCACTGGGCCCCACAATCACCCTGCATGCAATTTGAATGGAAGAGTAAGAGGCTCATGGGGCTCTACTCTTTACAGGCTATTAGTAGATTCTGGAAAATGAAGAATCATTGTCTCCTGCTGTGTGTGTACCCATTGCTGAGCCCGCCAGCCTCTAACAGAGAGCTCTAGACACATAGTTACACACGTAGACCTGATTAGACTAACTGATCACAAAACACAATGAATAGATACTAAGATAAAAAGGGATTTGTGGGGGGGAGGGGTAGATGAGATTGTAGGTATATGGAAGATGGTAAAGGATGAGGGATGAGAGCGAACATCATACATGTGTATATATATGGAATTCTATGAAGAAATTGATGACAAAGCACTATTATTAGCAAACAAAATTTAATATTTTAAAAAGCACCTTTTCCCTTGATGACACTAATGCAAACATAAAAAAACCAAGATGTGTCAGTAAATTAAAGACAAAAAAATTCCAGAGTAAAATGAGGAATTGATACACAAAGGCTAACAAATTTCTTTTAGCTTGCCTCTATTCTATGGCACTAATTTCCTGTGTGGAAGTTAGTGAGTACAAGTGTCTTCAGAGCTTGCTTGACCTCTGTAGATTCTCAAGTGTCGTAGTCTCTATTTTTTCCTTTATTGGATATACACTTACATATAAACAGGGTTAAATGATCGAGTGACCCAAATACATAAGCATAGGAAAAGTTCTGTACCTAGTCTCTGTGAAAGATCTATAAAACATCACTGTGAAATAACAAGGTGTTTTTAGCATTTTCAATTTGAGTGATTGCTTTACAAGACACCTCTTTTGCTGAAAAGTAATGTTTTCCCTCTGTGTCCTTCAGGTAGTAGTCACCTCATGATCAGATGTGCACAAGTTGATGGATGGAGGAAATCACACCATGGTATCAGAATTTGTGTTGCTGGGCCTCACCAATTCACAGGGAGTTCAGATTCTCCTTTTTCTGTTCTTCACAGTATTTTATGTAGCAAGCATGATGGGAAACCTTCTCATTGTGCTCACAATCATCTCAGACCACCACCTGCACTCCCCGATGTACTTCCTGCTAGCAAACCTCTCCTTCATAGATACAGGTGTGTCTAGCATTGCTACTCCAAAGATGATTTCTGACCTCTTCAGAAAATGCAGAGTCATCTCCTTGAATGGATGCATCACTCAGATGTTCTTCATTCATGCTGTCGGGGGAACAGAGATGGTGCTGCTCATAGTTATGGCCTATGACCGCCATATCAGCATCTGTAAGCCCCTCCACTACCTCACCATCATGAGCCTAAGGATGTGCATTTTTCTCTTGGCTCTGCCTTGGACCATTGGCTTTATCCATTCTGTGGCCCAACTGGCTTTTATTGTAAACTTACCCTTCTGTGGAGCTAATAAAATGGATAGCTTTTACTGTGATTTCCCTCGGTTCATCAAACTTGCATGTACAGACACATACACATTGGAGTTCCTGGTCACTGCCAACAGTGGTTTCATCTCCATGGCCACCTTCTTTATCCTCCTTGTGTCTTACATCTTCATCCTGGTCACAGTTCGTAAACACTCCTCAGGTATGTCCTCCAAGGCCCTCTCCACCCTCTCAGCTCACAACACTGTGGTGACTTGGTTATATAAAGTAAATAAATAAAAATAAATAAATACATAAATGAAATAAAATGAATAAATAAATAAATAAAAAGAAACCAGAAAAACAATACAAAAAAATCATTGCAACAAAGAGTAGGTTTTTTTTTTTTTTAATCAACAATATAGACAAACATTTATCCAAACTAATGAAAAAGCAGGGAGAAAACATGCAAACTAACAATGTCAGAAACAAAAAGGGACACATAACAACGGACACAGAGGATATCCAGATAATATTCAGGTCATAATCTGAAAACCTTTACTCCAAAAAAATTGAAAATTCAAAGGATATGGACAAATTTCTGGATAACTATCACTTACCAAAATTAAATCAAGAACAGACAAACAACTTAAATAGACCTATAACCAGCAATGTAATAGAAGCAGTCATCAAAAGCCTTCCAACCAAAAAAAGTCCAGGGTCAGATGGATTCAGTGCAGAATTCTACCAGACATCTAAGAAAGAACTAATACCAATACCACTCAAATTATTTCACAAAATAGAAACAGAAGGTTCATTGCAAAACTCTTTCTACAAGGCCACAATAACCTTGGTACCCAAGCCTTACAAAGACACAACTAGACAGGAAACTACAGACCAATATCCCTGATGAGCATACATGCAAAAAAATACTCGATAAAATACTGGCAATCTGAATTCAAGAATACATCAGAAAAATCATCCACCAAGACCAAGTAGGCTTCATTCCTGGAATGCAGGGATGGGATGGTTTAACATATGAAAATATATCAATGTGATCCACTATATAAACAAACCGAAATAGAAAAGCTATATAATCATCTCCCTAGATGCTGAAAAAGCCTTCGACAAAATTCAACACCCTTTCATGATAAAGGTCTCGGAGAGATCAGGGATAACAGGAACATATCTAAGCATAGTAAGAGCAATATACAGCAAACCAACAGCCAACATCAAACTGAATGAGAGAAGCTTAAGGCGATTCCTCTAAAATCAAGAAAAAGACATGGCTGCCCTCTCACTCCATATCTCTTCAATATTATACCTGAAGTTCTAGCTAAAGCTATAAGACAACAAAAGGAATCAAAGGGATCCAAATTGGAAAGGAAGAAGTCAAACTGTCTCTAGTTGCTGATGATAGCATAGTTTACATAAGCGACCCAATAAACTCTACCAGGGAACTCCTACAGCTGGTAAACATGTTTTTTTCAGACGACAAAGAGACAGAGAAAGAAATCAGAGAAACATCACCCTTTACAATAGCCACAAGTAACATAAAGTATCTTGGGGTAATGCTTAGCAAGCAAGTGAAGACCTATATAATAAGAACTTTGTGGCATTAAACAAAGACATTAAAGAAGATAGCGGAAAAAGGAAAGATATCCCATGCTCTTGGATAGGTAGGATAAACATAATAAACATGGCAATCTTGCCAAAAGCAATCTACAGATTCAATGAAATCCCCATTAAAATCCCACCACAATTCTCCACTGACCTTGAAAGGATAATAATCAACTTTACATGGAAAAACCCAGGATGGCCAAAACAACACTATACAATAAAAGAAGTTCAGGAGGCATCACCATTCCTGACTTTATGCTCTACTACAGAGCTATAGTTCTGAAAACATCCTGGTATTAGCACAAAAATAGACAGGAGGACCAACAGAATATAAATGAAAATCCTGATATTAACCCACACACCTATGAACACCTGATTTTCGACAAAACAGCGAAAAAGAATACAAATGGACGAGGATAGCGTTTTCAACAAATGGTGCTGGCACAATTGGATGATGGTTTGTAGAAGACTACAGATAGACCATGTCTGTCACAATGCACAAAACTCAAGTCAGAATGGATCAAAGGACTCATCATAAACCCAGCCACAATGAACCTCTTAGAAGAGAAAGTATGATGTACCCTTGAACAAATTGGTATAGGAGACTGCTTCCTGAACATAACTCCAGGGGCACAGACACTGAGAGCAACAATTAGTAAATGGTACCGCTTCAACCTTAGAAGCTTCTTTAAGGCAAAGCACAGTAGACAAGACCAAATGGCAGCCCACAGACTGGGAAAAGATTTTCACTAATCCAACAAAGGGCTGATCTCCAAAATATACAAAGAACTCAAGAAACTAGTCAAAAAAAACCACCCAATAACCCTATTAAAAAATGGGGTACAAAACTAAAGAAAGAATTCTCAATAGAGGAAATCAAAAAGGCTGAAAGACACTTAAGAAAATGCTCCACATCCTTAGCTATCAGGGAAATGCAAATCAAAACAACTTTGAGATACCATCTTACCCCTGCCAGAATGGCTAAAATTAGAAACACCAATGACAACTCATGCTGGAGAGGATGTGGAGAAAGGGGAACAGTCCTCCACTGCTGGTGGGAGTGCAAACTCATACAGCCATTTTGGAGATCAGTATGGTTCCTCAGGAAAATGGGGATTAGTTTACCACAGGACACAGCAATCCCCCTCTTAGGTGTATATCCAAATGGTCCACATCCATGCAACAAAGACATGAGCTCAACTATGTTCACAGTAGCATTTGTAATAGCAAGAACCTGGAAGCAACCTAGATGTCCCTCAACTGAAGAATGGATAAAGAAGATGTGGCACAACTACACAATGGAATACTATTCTGCAGAAGAAAATAATGGAATATTGCAATTCACAAGCAAGTGGGCAGCAGTTGAAGAAACCATTCTGAATGAGGTAAACCAGTCACAAAAAGAGGAACATGGTATGTACTCGTTCATATATGGATTTTAGACCTAGAGCAAAGGACCACCAGCTTATAATTCACACCACCAGAGGAACTAGGATAAAGGTATATTCTAAGAGATTCATATAAAGTCCCTCACAGAAAGGGAAGGGAGAAATCCGGCAGAGCACAGGGGAACTGGGGGGGGGGGGCAGTGAATGGAGAGAGATGTAGGAGGAAGAGAGGGAGAGGAGAGGATAACACGTGCAACTAGGAAGATTGAGTCAGGGTAGGAATAGAAAATAGGAGAGAGACAGACACACACACACACACACACACAGAGAGAGAGAGAGAGAGAGAGAGAGAGAGAGAGAGAGAGAGGAGAACATAAAAGAGGGAGCCACTATTGGTTTGAAGAGAAAATTTAACTGAAAGAAATGTCTAGAGACCTACAAGACTGCTGCCAACTAACAATTTGAGCATCCGTGGAGAGGCTACCATAAATGCCCTTCCCGGAGAGAGATCAACAACTAACTTAACCATGGAACCCTCATTTAGTACCTGTTGGAAACAGAAGCAAACACCCATACCTAAACACTGAGTCAAACTAGAATCCAGAAGCAAGTGGAGAGGACAAGACCAGGTTGCAGAAACACATAGAGACAGCTGACCTGGACAAGGAAGAGAGCTAATGGGCTCCCAGACTGATGGCTGGGACTGACTCAGGCCTCCCTAAATATGAGTCTCTGTAACGAGTACGGTTTTTCTGCCTGCAGCTTGGTCTTGTCCTGCTGCTGCGCCAGCCCCAAATAATACACAGAGACTCTGTATTTGATACAATCTGTTGGCCCGGTTACTTGTTTCTTATCGGCTAGCTCTGCCTTAATTATTAACCCATTTCTGCTGATCTATGTATTTTCACATGGCCTTCTCTTACCAGGGAGGCGGCTGGCGTCCAGCTCTCTCCTGACTCTCCATCTTGACTCCTCCTTACTACTTCCTATTTCGTCCTTGTCTCCTAGTCCCTCCTATCTTCCTTTCCTATTGGCCAACAGTGCTTTATTATTAACCAGTATGAGAAACATACAGAATGACCTCTCCCATCATCTCCTCTTTTCTGTCTAAATAAAAAGAAGGGTTTTAACCTTAACATAGCAAAATATATTATACAACAGTTATCAAGTAAGAATCACAGTTAACAATATTTAGTCCATTAACATATAGCAAGATATGAAGAAAATATTTCATCATCTATTCTAACTTTGTGTGTCTAAAGTCTAAGTAACTTATCTTTAATCCTAACTAATGAAAACTATAACCATTACTATCTGTCTTCAACTCCTTCAAAGACCACAGAAGGATAGTATATAAACTCTAGAAATGACAGAGACAACTCACTGCCTGGTCACCCGAAGTTCTTTTGTAATCTTCCATCTTCAGCCCATAGGCCATAGTGTGTCTGGCAGACTCTTCAGCAACGCAGGAGACTTTAAACTGTCTTCTTGTATTGGCAGTTTGTCAGTCACTTTCCTCTGTGTCCTGCAGACTGTCTGGCAGACTCTTCCATGAAGCAGGAACTCTGTAGCAATGTCCATCTTGAATCAGCAGTCACTTTTCTGTGGGTCCTGCATGTCCAGTATATACAGCATAAAGTCAAACAGTCCAGACAAGAGCAGTATCTTGTCCAAATGGCTAGTCTTGCCATATTGGAAGTAAACTCCATAACGTGTTTTTTTAATGTCCATCTTCCTTTCTGACGCAGGTGGTGTTGCCAGGAGCATTTATGTCTCATTGTCAAGTAAAACCCTAAATCATTTTAAATGCCATATTCTGTAGGTCTTTGAAAGGTTTGAAGAATTCCTATCTATCTTAAATACATCTCTGTGTATCTTGAAAAACCTTACTAAACTCTAAGCTTTGACTATCATTGGTAATTATCTATAATCTGTACTACATTATACATTGCATTTCTAAATGAGCTATACAAACAAGAGGAGAAATATACATATGACAAAATTGACCTTAAATTGTATCAATAAATAAAAATCCATTCCAAAACAAACTATGCATATCTATACCATAATTCCCTTTTTACCTTTAAAAAGATATTGGTTGTGATCCTTAACCATTTATAACCAAGTCCATTTAAATGAAAACAAACATTTATAAACAATATTTGGGAATTTGGGCGTCGTTCTTTCCAAACTACTTCCTGCTGATAGGGGGCGCTGTCATGGGGATCCTAAGAAGATGCAGAAATCCTGGCTGTAGTCTGCATGTCTGCCTTGTTCAAGCTGTTTTGAATGTTGGATCATCAGGAACTCTGTTTCGGGGGTCTGGCTTGCTCAAACCACATTAGTCTGCAAGGAATCCACAGCTTTTTATTTTCTGTGGAAACAAAAATAGAAATCCTTTTCCCCAGTAACTTGTCCTTGAACTTAAATGTTGGAGTCAAAGCATTTTTAAAATATATAAATTGAATTAATGCAGCAGCATTTCCTTTATCAGTTGTTATTTTCTCAGCAGTCAAACAATGCAGAGACAACACAATAGCATACAGTAAACAGATTCTCTCTGAGCTTTTCATCTTTACGTGGCTTTATTATTACTCTGTTTATTTTACTTTTATTTTTTCATTTTTTGACATAGGGTTTTACTGTGTAACTCTTATCTGTCCTGGAATTTACTCGGCATACCAGGTTTACTTTGCAAATCACAGAGATCTGCTTGCCTCTGTCTCCTGAGTGCTGGGATTAAAGGCGTGTGCTACAACACCCAGTTCCTCTTTGTCTCTTTAAAACCATTTTTTTTTTCATGTCTACGCATATTTTAAAACACACTGTAAACCTTTAGAGGTTTTTCTTAATATGAATCTGTCTTTACTGTAAATCTTTATCTTTGTCTGGCCACAAGTCTTTATCTGTTAAACAACAACATTATTAAAATGAAAGTCATAGCTGTATAAGCCACGATTTACCAAAGATGGTGACAGGTACTTTTACCCGCCAGCACAGAAAGCTGTGCTCACCGCCTTGGTCTGCACTGCCACCCAGAAAGCATGCTGCCTGCTTGGAGATGTGGTCACTGCCATTGCCATCTCTCATACACACCAATAAATTGTTAGCAGAGTTATTTAAAAGCTGTACGGTTTTTTGCCACTTATGCTGAGTCAGGAATCTTCCCTTAAAGGAGCCACGCTAATATCTGCTTGTCTCTAGCAAAGCAGAGTTCAACTGAGAAAAATGCTGCTACCAAGAAACCTTGCTTGTCTCTGTTCTTTTGTTTCTAAAACCCTTTTTTAAGCTTTTGCTAAATTTTAAGTGGAAGTTCTTATTAACCACGTGGGCGCCATTTGTAACGAGTACGGTTTTTCTGCCTGCCGCTTGGTCTTGTCCTGCTGCTGCGCCAGCCCCAAATAATACACAGAGACTCTGTATTTGATACAATGCTGTTGGCCCGGTTACTTGTTTCTTATCGGCTAGCTCTGCCTTAATTATTAACCCATTTCTGCTGATCTATGTATTTTCACATGGCCTTCTCTTACCGGAGAGGCGGCTGGCGTCCAGCTCTCTCCTGACTCTCCATCTTGACTCCTCCTTACTACTTCCTATTTCGTCCTTGTCTCCTAGTCCCTCCTATCTTCCTTTCCTATTGGCCAACAGTGCTTTATTATTAACCAGTATGAGAAACATACAGAATGACCTCTCCCATCAAGTTTCAGCCAGAATGACTGAGAAGTCTAAGGGACCTCAGACAGTGGAACCAGGATGTATTCCTGATGCACAAAAGTACCTTGAGAACACATCCCCCATGGAGGGATACTATCTTTACCTAGAGACAGGAGAGAAGCCCTAGTCCCTACTTCAAATGACCTGACAGACCTACCTGACCCCACCTAGATGGCATTGCCCTACATGATGAATTGAGGTGGGAGGATAGGAGGGGAGAGTGGTCAGGGTGCATGTGATGGGGCACAGAGGATAAAAGGGAGGAAGGGAGGAAGGGACTGAGGGAGGAAGGTAGGGAGGGAGAGAGAACTGGGATCGACATGTTAAATAATAAATTAAATTAAATTAAAATGTGATTTGGTATCATCTACATCATCCATGCCACTATTGTGCTAATGGGCATAACTTATCAGGCCAGTTGATATTTTAGCTTATGAGGTTCACAGTTTGGTGGGTATGGATATCAATTACTTTTCTCCCACAACAACCTACAGAATATTTTCTGGGAAAATGAAAGTTAGCCCATAAGAAGACACTTCCAGGTGACCATTAATTTGATACTCCATGTCCTATGACCAAAGTGTACAGTATCTTTAACAACAGTGTCTAACATCAAGTTCTGCTGGGCAACCCAAAGCAACAGCAATACCTGTGCTGTTCTGGAGTTTGAACAACCCTTTAGCCAACTTCTTGAAGACAGAAACTTTGCACCTGGCACTGAGATTTTTGTTTAATGACCAAGGCCTCCAGGAAAATCATTGACCACCCAAGTGGGTAACTCTAATTAAACTGTTTTTGTTGATACAAATGTTATTCTAATATAACTCATTGAGTTTATATAATGTGACTTGTATGTATGTTTTCAGGGATGGACATTAGGCATTTGGCCAAATAATTGGTGTGGTCTTCTCTTGTATAAAACAGTAGATTTCAATATGGCATATGGCTTTTTCAAACTCTTATCAATGATAACTATATCTTTTCCAACCCACTCCTGTCTACCACCCTCCTACCATCTCTCCTACTTTGTATGGAATATAATATATCCATTGTTACAAAAGGTGAGATTTCATACACCCCTAGGAATTGATCATTTCCAAAAGAAGGATCAAAGAGACTGAGAAAATGGCTGCCTGCTTGTTCTGCGTGCAGGAAGACCTGAGTTTAGATGTCCAGCACCTGTTTAAACAGACAAGCACAATGCCATGTATCAAAATTAGGTGTAGAGAAATTGAGAAAGACATACAATATCAACCTCTAACCTCCACATTTAGATAAACACATATGTGCCGCAACCACTTCCACCGGCAAGGAAGACGCAACGCTCAGACTCTTCTTTAAGCAGTTTATTCAGGAACCTTGAACACTCTTGTTCTGCTCCTCCCAGCCCCAGCAAGCCATTAAATATGCTCTCACTGCCCAATCAGCTCATGCCACCTGGTGATCCCAGATAGGCCAAAGAAGGAGGAAGCATGCCAGATCCATCAAGCACTTCCAAATAAGGCTTGTTTACAGCTAAACTCAGACTACCTGGCATCCAGCCAGGCTCCACCTTGGGACTGGCTTGTTTACAGCTAAGCTCCCAATACCTGGCATCCAGCCAGGCACCACCTTGGGGCTGTGGCTTCTCACAGTTCCCCTCACAGTTCCCCATTTTTGTTTAAAATGCAACAGGCAAGGGTAGAGGTCTGATCTCTGATGAACAAGGGACATTGTAATCCCCCCCCCCTGCCCAGTATCAGCCAAGCTAGTGCCACACCCATCCGGTATCTTTTCTCAGAGATGGGATTACGATACCAACCCATATGCAATCAGACTTGTCCTCCATGAAGCCACTAATAGCTGGCCTCAAGTGCAGTACTACGTCTTGCATCCTGATCGTGATGACTGCTTAGCTTTTAAGCACAGTTAACCAAGCAAGCCTGAGGTGATTGCCCTGCCTCCATGGCTGTGAAGGCTTGTGCAATCATGGCATTACTTCTCTGCTGTGTATCCCTTATCCTACAGATACACCATAAAGCAATGAGACTGACTCTGACTAGGATAAGCATCCCTCCCAGATCATCCCTCTACAGGACTAATATTCTTATCTAAAGGCAAAAAGGGTAAATTTAAACTTAAATTGCTACTAAAAAATCTGGGGAAAACTTAGAGAGAATGTCTAATTGGCATGGGTTTAGGAAACACCGACAGGATCCCCCATCGTGGATCTGCTTCCATCTTGTTGACCAGTATCACCATCATGATCATCAGCATCAGGTGCATCACTCTGCTTGTGGACCTTGCCATCTTCAGAGGCAGGCACTCTCCTGGTCAGTCTTTCAGGAATCCACAGAGTTTCTGACTGATCCGGTGGGTAAACACAAACAGATCCTCTCACCCATGATAACACAGGGTCAGGACCCTTCCATAGTCCAGAAATGACATCTTTCCATTTTACAAATCCCTTATCAATGGGAAGGATACTATGATGGCGATCAGCAGCTGAGCACCCATCCACATCCAATTGAAAAAAATTAAGAGTCAGTAGAGCTAGAGATATTCTCTCTTTGGGGGTGCTGTTGAAAAAAAAATAAGAGTCAGTAGAGCTAGAAATAATCTCTTTGGGGAGATGCTGCCTTGGCCTATTCCCCCTTTTTGTTTTATTAAGCATTCCTTCAAAGTTCGGTGAGCTCCTTCAATAATGCCTTGGCCTTGTGGGTTGTAGGGAAGACCATGTCTCAAATCTATCAGCATTTGCTTGCAAAATGCAGAGAAAGATGCAGCAGTATACGCTGGTCCATTATCAGTCTTAAATTGCTACAGCATACTCCATGTAGCCCAAGCTTCTAAGCAGTAGGGAATTACATTTTGTGCCTTTTCTCCATTTAAAGGAGTAGCATGTATCCACAGAGACATGCACATACCTTAATGTGCCAAATTCAGCGATATGAGTAACATCCATCTGCCATATTCTAAGAGAGGCCAATCCTTTGGGATTAACCCCCCAAGTAGGCGGATGTAAATACACTACACAATTTTTACAAGCCTTAAGTATATCTCGAGTGGCTGCCCTGGGAATCCCGAAGCGATGCTGCAAGGTCTTTCAATTAACATGAAATTGAGAATGAAATTGCTGAGCTCTATCATTTGGTAGAGAGGCAAATATAAAATGCATCTGGGTACACTTATCCACTAATTCCTTTTTCTCACTAATTGGTCCAGGCAATCCAGTATGTGTTCTAATGTGTTGGATATAAAAGGGTTGCGAACACTTTCAAATGAGCTCTTGTAGCTGGGTTACATGTGGCTGAACAGGGCTGTTAGTATTTATTTTTCCAGCTACTTCCAAATCTCTAACCAAATTAACAATGTAACAGGAATCAGAAATTAAATTGAAGGCTTCAGAAACTTTCCTAAAAATCTGTAACATTATTTGAAACTCCACTATTTGAGGCTAGCCTGGCATAAACTGACAAATAATTGGGGTAGCTTCTCCAATTACATATGCGCCGCACCCAGTCTTAGAACCATCCATAAAAATGGTTACTGCAACTTCAATGGGTACTTTACGGGTAACTTTTGGGAAAATAACAGGATGTTCCTTTAAAAAAAGCTCAAAATGGGATAGTGGTTATCTATATCTCCATCAAAACTACATTTTACAATAGCCCATTCATCTAATGAGGCAATTAAAACATTTATTTGTGCAGCAGAATATGGGGTAATAAGCATTTCAGGCTGACATCCAAAAATTGTAAACATTGCTAGATCCCCATCAGAGCTAGACTAGCAATGCTGGTTGGATAATGCTCTACAGACTTAGTCACTGAGCTTTTGGGATGGATCCACTGTAACCGCATTAAAGACGCTGTGCTCAACCCTTGTTCCACCTTTTGCAATGCCACTTGGGCCTCATTATTTAACACCCGAGGAGAATTTAAATCAGGGTTGCCAATTAATATATCATATAAGGGTCTCAATTCTTGATTGGAAAGCTTCAAAAATGGCCGAATCCAATTTTTATCTCCTAATAATTTTTGAAAATCGTTTAAGGTTTGCAAGATATCTAATCTTAATGTAATTTTCTGAGGCACTACGCGGTCCTTATATATCTTGGCTCCCAAGTAATCAATAATATTGCCCTGTTGTACCTTTTCAGGGGCTATATATAGTCCCTTGTTCTCTAAGATCTTTACCAACTCTCCATATGCCTTGTATAGTAATATCAAATCTTTACTGGTCATTAAAATGTCATCCATATAGAGAAGCCATCACATCTCAGGATATCTTTCTCTAATGGGAACAATGGCATGACACATAGTGGGGCTATTAGCCATGCCCTGGGGCAGCACTACCCATTCATAACACAGATCAGGTTCTTCATGGTTAACAGAAGGCAAGGTAAAAGCAAATCTAACACTTATCTTTAGCACACAATGGGATGGAAGAGAAACAATCCTTAATGTCCACCGCTATAATGGACCAATCCTTGGGTAAAGTTGACAGTAAAGGTAAGCCATGCTGCACAGGCCCCATAACTTGCATTTACTTATTTATGGCTCTTAAATCATGCAACAACCTCCATTTCCCCGACTTTTTCTTTATCACAAAAATGGGAGAAACAAGGTGAATATGTCCTAATTTTAATTGTTCTTGAACTAGAGATTTAGCTGCAGCAAGTTTTTCAGAGGAAAGAGGCCATTGAGGTACTCAGACTGGCTCCTCTGTATTCCAGGTAATGGGAATAATGTCCTCAATGGCCCCTAGGAAAAACCCAAGCCCTGTCTAGGGGAACGAGACTTGGAACAAAATTCATGTTTAACTGATGGTAGATGTCATTCTGTATATGTTTCTCATACTGGATAATAATAAAGCACTGTTGGCCAATAGGAAAGGAAGATAGGAGGGACTAGGAGACAAGGAGGAAATAGGAAGTAGTAAGGAGGAGTCAAGATGGAGAATCTGGAGAGAGCTGGACTCCAGCCACCTCCCCGGTATGAGAAGGCCATGTGAAAATACATAGATCAGCAGAAATGGGTTAATACTTAAAACAGAGTTAGCCAATAAGAAACTAGTACCTGGCCAACAGTATAATATCAAATACAGAGTCTCTGTGCATTATTTGGGGCTGGCGTGGCGGCAGGACAAGACCAGGCGGCGGGCAGGAAACCGTACTCGTTACATTTAACCTCCTTCCAGACTCTTGGGCAGAAAGACCCCCTCCAGGATCATCTAACAAAGAAGTTACATTGTATGGAGGAGGGGGCAGTTCTAGTTCCTCCTCTGATTCTGAGCTACTTTCCTCTAGACTTTCCCCGCAGCTTTCCTTTTCTGACTTCATGGAGCGCTCTTCTTTCAACTGTTATAACACTTCTTGCCCCATTTCAACAGCCCTGCAGCACTTTTGATCCTCTAATAAGCTGTGAACAAGCCTCCACATTGGTCTTGTCCCTGGTCTCAATGTTCTCTGTTCCCAGGCAAAGTCTAGGTCTTTCCCAAGCTTCTCCCAGCAACTTATGGTTAAATTATCAGAAACAGCGACTGTCTCAACCTCCACGAGGAATCTCTCTAGAGTGCTCTTCTTAATCTTTAAATTCTTAGAACGAAGCAGCACATTCAGACCCAAAAAAAATTGGGTGCAATTGAGAAGCGCCCATGGCTAAACTTGCAAAGTTTCCTTTTAAGCTTTTACTTTTGGTTCACTGAGCCGCAAACTCTTCCCACTCCCTCTTTGTCTACAGAGAAGAGCAAAATACCCGCTCTTGGTGCGGATTCCCACCTTACTTGGGAACTTACCAGTGCACTGCCCTGACTGCAGAAAGTTCTGAGTCTTTCAATGAGAGGGTTCCCCTTACGGGCCACCACTTGTCGTGACCACCTCGATCAGCAAGGAAGATGCAATGCTCAGACTCTTCTTTAAGCAGTTTATTCAGGAACCTTGAACACTCTTCTGCTCCTCCCAGCCCCAGCAAGCCCTTAAATATGTGCTCACTGCCCAATCAGCTCATGCCACCTGGCGATCCCAGATAGGCCAAAGAAGGAGGAAGCACACCAGATCCATCAAGCACTTCCAAATAAGCTCAGACTACCTGGCATCCAGCCAGGCTCCACCTTGGGGCTGGCTTGTTTACAGCTAAGTTCGGACTACCTGGAATCCAGCCAGACACCACCTTGGGGCTGTGGCTTTCCACACATATATATACTCACTGTATGCACACGCACTTTTACAACGACACAGGGGTGGTGAGGGAGAGAGAGAGTCATTCTTTTGGCTTTGCAACAGACTTCAGTGGTTTCTAATCCAAAGAAGTATCAGGCTAATTTCCCAGCTTATAAAATGAATTTTTCTGAGTTTGCCCTACCAAATTTATGCCTTGAAGCATAGCTGCTGCTATTAAAAGACCCCCACTATGCTTATTGCCTGCTTGAGCTGCTCTCATTAATTGCCAAGGTCAAGTTATGAGAAAAGTACAGGAGGGAACCAGGTGCTGCTCTCATCCAACGCCAACCAGATATCTGTGGTCTGCAGCTTGGACTAAAGCAAGGTCAGCAGGACAGTATCCAGGATGCTGAGATAGTCATAACTGAATTCTTTGTATTCTTTGTGCCCAACCCGAATAACCAACTGTCCTTGGTTAACTACAACTGTAACCATGCTTCTGCTTTCTGTAAGCCTGCTTCTTGCCACACCAACCTTATATAAACTGCATATGCTTTAACCAGGCACGCTCTCTCAGTCTCTCGAAAGACTGGGGCGTCCATAGGTACCTGTGTGTAAACAATAAATAACCTCTTGCACTTGCATCCAGTGGTCCGGTCTCATCTCTTGGGGGCAAGGGCCTTCCCCCCTGACAGGCTCCAAACTCTTGGGGTCTGCTGGGGTCTTTCACTATATCTTGCTCAGCAGGCCATTTCAATGTGAACTCGAACTGAGATTTCTCTTCTCCAAGATATTCTTTTCACTATGTGAATGTATTATTCCAGAGTGTGGAAGGAAGGACTGGTGTTCCTCCTTTCCTGCTTCACAGGTTTTCAATGGGCTGGTGGGGCCAGTATGGGTACTTCTTCTTGTCCAGCTTCGTTTCTGGGAAGACTTCATACAAGTCATCAAT